TCTCGTAGACGGTGCTCTCGCCGAAGTGATGGTGTCGACTACCTCTTGGGGTAGGTCACTCAGAACCTCCGCGTCCCATCCAGGGACCAGACATGAAGTTTCCAGAGATCTGGACACGGGGGCCAAAGGGTGCCCCGTCTCTGAGTCAGTAAATCCTTCCTCAGAGGAATCGGCCAAGGAGGGGCTGTCGCGAGGAGCATTAGTTCCGGGAACCAGGTCCGGGTAGGCCAATAGGGTGCCACCAACAGGACCTGCTCCTCGTCCTCCCTGACCTTGCACAGCAACTGTGCAAGAAGGCTCACTGGGGGAAACGCATACTTGCGAAGGCCCCGCGGCCAGCTGTGTGCCAGTGCATCCGAGCCGAGTGTTCCTTCGGTCAGGGAGTAGAACAACTGGCAGTGAGAGGTTTCTGGAGAGGCATACAGGTCTACCTGAGTGACTCTGAAACGTCTTCAAATCAGCTGGACCGTCTGGGGATGGAGTCGCCATTTTCCCGGGAGCGCAGCTTGAGACAGCTAGTCGGCTGCCCGGTTGAGCAGCCTCAGGAATGTGAACAGCACGAAGCGACCTCAGATGCTTCTGACTCCAAAGGATGGACCCGGTGAGTGCCGCGTTGCCACGCTCACCTCGGGACTTGGCCATGGAGCCAGTGCTGAAACGGTCTCCCAGCAGCCTCTGAAATTGTTTCAGTGGGACCGCCATCCTGCTATTGAATGTATTCAAGCCATTCAACACCGACTGAGCACGTTCCTGCGTGAGGTGTGCTGTCTGTTCGACCGAGTCCAACTCCATACCGAGAAAAGAGATCCTCTGCGTCGGGGAGAGTTTGCTCTTTTCCCAGTTGACCCGAAGGCCCAACTGGCTGAGTTGCGAGAGCACCAAGTCCCTTTGTTCACACACCTGATCCTGAGACTGAGCTAATATGAGCCAGTCGTCGAGGTAGTTGAGAATGCGAATGCCCTGTTCTCTCAGGGAAACAAGGGATGCCTCCGCAACTTACGTGAAGAGCCTGGGCGAC